GAAAGCTCGGATAATCATTATATGCTGATATATCCTCTCACATAATGTGCGTGCAGTATTTTAAACTTTTAGATTGTGTTATCGTCTTTGCAGGTTTGTTATTATTATTATTATTATTAATATTTTTATTTTCTTTGATTTCTGGCGTTTACACATTTCTTTCCGGGTCCCGCCCAGGGACCTAAGATTTGAAATGGCATCATGACACCTTCCACTGACAAAAAAAAATACATAGATAAAGCCCTTCGTAAAGTGTGGGCTGTACTTGTCAGAACAATTTTTGTATTCCTTTGAGGCATGGACTTCCAGGAATCCCATCAATTAGTCTACTGCAATTTGTTCCAACTAGTCCTAGGTCTCCAACTACAACAGGGATTGTTGATGTTCCCATATGCCACATTTTCGAGATTTCTATTTCAAGGTCCTTGTATTTTGACAGCTTTTTGAATAACTTCAAAGATACATTGCAGTCTGCAGGGACTGCTGTATCAATAAGGAGGCACCGTTTTTGTTTGTGGTCTTTAATAACAATATCTGGGCGGTTGGCTTTGATTGTTCTGTTAGTGTGTATTGTGTAGACCCATAGAATTGTAACACTGTCCTATCTCCGTAACCGGGTCTGGATGGTGTTCATATCAGTTTCTTTCAGTTACCTTCCCGTAGAAGTTGCAGATTTTCCAATGCAGATATTGGCCCACTCTGTCATGCCGGGTTTTATATTCAGTGGGTGCCAATATCGTGCAACCTTATACAAGATGATTAATCGTTTCTGGATATTTATCACAAAATCTGCATTTTGGGCTGACAAAATATTTTAGTATATGTGCTTGATAATTCCTAGTTAGCAAGCATTGGTCCAGCGCAGCAAGGATAAAACCTTCAGTTTCATCTTTCAACCCTGCATTACGTAGCCACTGATGGGTACGGGTTTTGTCTACGTCAGCTTGTTTGGTACGGGCAGAGTATTGGCCATGAAGCAGTTTATCTTGACATCGCTTCTGTATCTGGTCGGTTGCATTCGTCTTTGCTGTCTTTTTTTTAAGTATTTTGCAGTTTCAGTCGGTGTATTCTGCTGTAGCTGCATCTCTACGTCCATTTTAAACTCCATTTTGAATTTGTTGGCTTCTTTTATTACGAAGTAAAGACACTTATTAGTTTCATGTTCCTTGAGGCATACCATCATCCAGTCTTCTGTAATTTCCAAGTATCTTTGGAGGCCAATTGTTGTAGTTTTGTAGGACAGTTCTAGTTGAACTAATCCTCTGCCTCCTTCGGATCTGGGAACATACAGACGATCAACATCAGCTTTGGGATGATGCATGCGATAGCAAGTGAGAAGCTTTCTCGTTTTGGCGTCCATTCGCTTAATTTCAGCTATGGTCCAGTTAAGGACATTAACGCTGTATTGCACCACAGGGACAGCCAATGTGTTTATGGCTGATATTCTGTTTTTTGAGTTTAGCACAGTATTTAGTACGAGACGTACACGCCTGTAGTACTCTTTTCTTATTTTTCCCTTCATTTGGGGGTGTTGTATGCCATCTCTTTCGCTAATTCCTAAGTACTTATAAGCTTTATCATGCTCCAGTTCCCTAATCTTTGTGACAAAATCTAGATCTATTAAGGGTGTTTATGTAATTCTACCTTTCTTGAATGTTACTTTTGCACATTTATCTAATCCATACCTATGTCTTCACTGAAGTATTTTACAATATTGAGGAGGCCTTTCAACTCATTGTTGTTTTTGGCAAAGAGTTTGAGATCATCCATGTAAAGTAGGTGATTGAATATTTATTATTATTATTAAATTATTCATTCAAATTCTCTCTATATATTTACTAGCCTTATGTTGACTCTAGTAAACATATCTATAGCTAGTAAATATATAAAACTTGGCAAAAGGTTATAAGTCATGAGATTATAACATCCGAGAACATGTAAGAAGGAAAATTAGAATCATAGTAATGATTTTTCCTGTTTATACTTTTGTGTGTCGTATCTCTTCAGGTCGTACTGGTTCAAGGCTCTTCACTAATTCCACTCCCTTTGTTCCCGCTCTGCAGTCCATTCACGCATTAGGTAGTTTATTTAAATATTTCCTTCGGCTTCTGATTGATTGAATAATTTGTTTTTTACGGCTTATCAACCCCTTTTGCAGTTTATTTAAAACCAGAGAATATTTTTACATTGTAAGATATTTTAAGATAATAATGATTTACTGACACAAGTCTTACTAATTATCCCATAGCTGGGGGAGAAGAGATGGAGTCAGACTTTTCCCAAGTGTATTTGCCCGTAAGTAAATATCACTTACCCTACGGGAATTGTATCTCGGCTCTCCGGTAACAATTCCAAGCCATTGTCCATAACTCTAACCGCTCATTCAAGATTACAGAACCTGGTATTCCCAAGCGGTCATTCATCTACGTACTGACTAGGTTCAAGATTGCTTAACTTCAATGTTCGTATGGGCATCGGTGTTTAAAATGATATGACCGTAAGTTAAAAATTAAGATAGAGTGCTTTATATCTATATGACCAACACGAAGCTATTACGCGACCCAAATAGTGTGAGTTCAATACCCGGTTAAGGCAGTGGAGAACTTGGAGAGGGGAATTAACAAGAGATAACTGACAACTGACATCCATTATACATGGCACGTGGAACTAGAATAGTCTACCCCAGTGAGCGAAATAAACGGTTCAGTTCGACATTCCAACCACCTAAAGAGAGCCGGAGCGTACAACGGCTGAAACGTTGTAATAAATATGGCGACAAAGATGAGGACAATAGTCCGAATAATGTAAAATAGTGGTTCGATATTGTTGAAATGTTGACATGTTATTTCTCTGACATTTTAGCTTTGCTTTTGTTCTACTAGTGTTTTCAGATGTGGATTGCCATTTGCAGATGGACGTCATCCACCATCTTGATCTTAAAGGCTCCTTACTGCGACCCCCCCCAAAAAAAACCAGCACCGTACTGTCTGACCACAAGCGGATACTTTAACCTCATGCTCTGTTAATGGTGGCAGCAGTTTGAAAAGGATTATAACCAACCTTAAACTCATACAAAAAAACACATCTTTTTCTTTTCTCATATTCAAGATGAGTGATATATAATGTTTTCAGTTAAATTCGCAAAGAGATTGATATGAAATTAATAGAATAGCAAAAAGATAAAGCAATGAAAACCAAACAACGCAAAAGTAAAAATACTATAATTTCTTTCTTCTTTTTCTCCATAATTCATTCTCTGATGAAGCGTTAATAAAAGTGAAATATGTTAGATTGATAAACATTTAGTATTTTTAATAATTATAAATAATTAGGAATAAGTAATACATTTTCGTACAACTATTATAAAAACACAGTGTGTCCCCCACAAAATTAACATAATTTAAAATATGAATATCTGAGTAATTACATGTCCCAGACAAACGAAATTAAATAAGCTTCATGTTAAACAATAAAAGATTTATTTATCAACATTTGAACAAGATATTCAAAGCTTTGGAGATTTAATGACTGATTTCATTAGATTGTTTTACCTATATGTGGGTTTTCGGGAAAAAAATGTTTCACTTTAACCGGATTCGCTTTTTAGCATTTCAAAAAGTTTGTAAATGTTTATCGGATTCCAAAGTGCTGACGCTGATGCCTACAACATTTTTGAAAAGCTAAAAGCAGAACCGATAAAGTAAAACGATTCCTTCTAAAAACTCACATGTAAGTAAAATAATTTTAATTTTAATAATTCTCTGTAAACATATATTTATTATAAATATTACATATAAATATATAAAATTAGGTGTTTTAAAAATCTTATTATTTTCTCTCTCTCTCATATATATATATATATATATATATATATATATATATATATATATAGATAGATAGATAGATAGATAGATAGATAGATAATGAAAATATTTACATAGTTCTAAGATTCCCATAGTTCTCACGAAAGTACCTAGGCTATTTGAAGTTTTGTGGTTTGTGCATTTTCATGCGTTATCTTAGTATCGCAAAATCTCTAATTTATTAGATTCAATTGAAAAGTCACATGAAAAGTTCAACCTAATATATAATATTTACAAACTGCATTAAGAAAGGTTCGTAATAACAAGTAAAATTGCGATTGCTGTTTGATCTCTGGGTGCCAATCGTTTTATACTTCTAAACATCTTCAAGGGAAGGAAAATATTCTTTTTTAAATCATGCTCGTTAAGAAGCTTTTGTGTTCCAGTTGATGCGGTCCACATATAACGATTACTGTAATCGATGTGATTAAATTCGCGATTTCTTTCCTAGCCTCCGAGCAGGATTGTTGAAATAGCATGGGCGTAATCGTCTTGCTAAAAACTCCAGACGAATAGTTCACGCGCATACGCCAGCGCTATTTATCGCGCATGCGTTCTAGCTATAAAAAGCTAACCGATGTTACTCGAAATATCTGTGTTCGTCTTAAATCTAAAGTAACTACTCGCCCTCCAGTCAGTTAATAAAGCCGTATTCAGAAGACGCAAAATTTGTTCATGTCATGTGAGAACAAGAGATTAGTATATGGTGAATTGTCGAAATAAGCTTTGTACCTTATATCTACCATCCATCCACATAAACAGGTTTGGTAAGTTGCTCGCTCGTTCCCTATATTTTTCAATCCCTCAGTATATCTTGAGAATGTTAAATTTTCCAAGTCGACTTTCTTCATAATATGTCCTAGAAATTTCAACGATCTCTTTCTGATTTTAAGTATAAATGCCGTTCATGGTCTCATTTTCTTCAGAACCTATCTTTGCTTATGTATTCTGTTCATGATATTGTCAACAAACTTCTGTACAGCCACATCTCTGTTGTTTCGAAACTCTTCTTGATCTGTAAGGAAATTATCCAGCACTCAGTGACATGCTGTAGGATAGATACGACATGACAGTCCAGCACTCTCTTTGTTTATATATAAATATGTCTGTTTTAACACTAAGTTTAATTTTTCGAAGGTTTCTTTCGCTATTCCAATACCCTTCAGATCTCTGTCACAATTTTCGTCCTCTGTTACGACACTACACAGACACATGAATTTCTGTACAGGATTGATCCTAATGTTTCTAATTCTAAATTACCCATTCTTATTGTCGCTCTTGTTAATAGTCTGTCCCTTATAGATCTTATATAAGAATACATTTTTTGAAATTTCGGATGGACGTGTCCTCCTCCTGGTTTAATTAAGGTTTAAAAAGTGGAATGCACTTGAAAAAAAAAAAATTGACCAATGAAAATCAAACAGCCGAAAAGTAGAAATACCATAATTTCTTTCTTCTTTTTTCTCCATAACTAATTCTTTGATGAACCGTTAACCAAAGTGAAATATGTTAGATTGATAAAAATTTATTAATTTTTCTTTATCTTTATATATATATATATATATATATATATATATATATATATATATATATATATATATATATACGTTGGATATTCTTATTTTTCTTTATAATATATTATGAATGGGTCTCTTAATTTTCAACCCAACCTACTTACAATCATCAGTATTTCAAAAATATTGATTCTAGGAAATTGGGTTGGACTGAAAACATGGAAGCCCTCACCAAAGGTTGAAGATGAAATATAAAAATTACATCTTCACTAGACAAGACAAGTCATATTTATATATATATATATATATATATATATATATATATATATATATATATATATATATATAAGTTAAAATGCCTCTTGTAGTATTAGTAGCAACACTATATTTTATTAAATGCTAGGTATGTCAATAAACTATATCCTGCAGCAAGCCCTCAGATCAGGAGATTGGAGATTTTGAGGAGCATGGAACCACCTCTTAATTTCTGTTGTTCTCGGGTTCACTTTAACCTGGAGTGGTAGCACCTGTTTGGCTCCAGCTGTGCTTCTGAATTCAGAACACTACAAATTATACTAATGTTGGTTTTCTCCATAATTCATTCTCTGATGAAGCTTTAATAAAAGTGAAATATTTTAGCATGATAAACGTTTCCTATTTGTTATTTATCTTATGAAAAGTTTTAAACTAATCATTGGTCGATTAATCGAATAGATATATATTCAAATTATATATGATTTTATGCATGAAAGAAAATCTACTGACGTAACAAAATCCATGTAATAGTTATCTGGTATCACGTATGACCCTATATCACCCGTCGAATTGCAGTAACTGAACGTGGTATCTATAACCCATGTGGTCGACTTCTGGAGAATAATCCTCTGTATGACGATAACTGCATCTGGCAGTAAGGTCACTGATCGGAAGATTGTAGGTTTTGAGGAGCGTGGAAGCACCTCTTAATTGCTGTTTTTCCCAGGTCAACTTGGAACCGGGGTGGTAGTACCTGTTAGGGTTCTAGGTATTGGCAAATAGTGAAACCCCAAACAAAAACGAAACATTATGAAAGTTTAAAAATATAAGCAATACATTTTATAGTAAAAAATACCAGCAATATATATTTATAGTAAAATAACCAACAATACATATTTATAGCAAAATGACCAATACTACATATTTATAGCAACATGACCAGTAATACATTTTATAGCAGAATTAATGCCATATACCGTAGCTAATGGGTATGTCCCAATCCTCATAAATACATTGTACACTATTGTAAGCGGGGGGGGGGGTAATATGCTAAGTAGTCCACCACTAGCAGTGGTTTACCTACTTAGCGCCGCTGGCGAGTATTGTATTTTGTTGATGTTATAAAGATTACCATTTCATTTCCAACCTTTGGTTATTTATCATTCAGTAATCTTTTCTAGGTTACAGTTATTAACAATACTTTCTATAGAAAAATAAACAAAAAAATTGCGTTCAAAATATATTTAGTTGAAAACACACCATTTTATTGAAAATATTTAGATTTCAGCATTAAATAACCCATAGAGGTGTTGATATGCCTAAATAAATTTAAAAAATCAAAATAACCAACATATATATTTAATATATAAATTGAGTCAATAAAATTTAGTAAATGAAATAAATGTCCATTAATATTTGTAATAAATATGTTGCTCATGAACAAACCTCTTTAATACGTCTAATAAATGCTAAATCATACTCATGTCGGGCGAATTAAGGAGTACAGAGAATACTCTTCAAACTGGCTCTGTGCAACATAGGTCTGGTAAAACGTGTTTAACACTTTTGAATATTCTTTTGTTGGAGCAGATCAGCGGGTGCCGGCCAAAATCGAAACGTACCAAATTTTTTTCTGAGATTCGAGTAAATGAAACCTGGAGTTCTTAGCGAGGATCATTCCTCTTCGAACACTGGCGCTACAAAATCACAAACAAAGAACTGTACCAAATAACAGGAACGACACCTCTGGAGGATTTTCAACAGCAGCAACAACTAAAATGGATAGCACGTGTTACTCGAAGAGAAAATAATGATACATCATGAGGTTCGGCACTGCATCCAACAAAAGATCTGAAAGCAAATACCCA